AGGACATGGCTTGGATGGATAACTGAAGTTTCCTCTACTTTTGGTTTCAGCTTTGGCTTCTGTTTCCGCTGTTGGGTGCCCCCAACCCACCTCCCTTCTTGGTTTCTGAAATTCCCTTCAAGGGAAAACCCAACGACCACAAGTAACGGGCATACTGGTACAGAACAAACCACAAAAACACTCTTTAGTGTCTGCAGGGGGTCCCTCTTGAACCCAGAAGTTTATTAGCATTCAGCAAAAGAAACATATGTTGTTACAAACAGGCAGTGCATCAAGATGTTAGTGAGAGCTAGGAGTGGAGAGGTCACAACCCAGGTGATTCCATGATGCCTGGGGGATGGAGAAGGGGAAGCTCGGGAAGGGCCAGGGGCTTTGCTTTCCTTTCTGCACCAGGAGAGGAAGAATGCTTACACCTGGGGTGGGGATGTACTGTCGTTCCTAATTTCTTCCCACCTTCACACAGCCATTTTATTTAACACGACCTAAATATACATTCCTGTGTTCACCACCCCCATATACAGCAGGGAAAATAAGCACCAATCGTAACAAGAATAATAATTAAAGCCCCGCCTCTCAACAGACTCAAGCCTCACACATATGCATGCCATGTGGACTTTCTTCTTCGGGGTGACTATAGGATGGAAAAGTGGGGCATCGGGTCAGCAAGCCATCACCCTGACAGTCACTATTTACCAAAGTATCATGCACGTGTGGGCTGGAATAGGGAAAAGGAGGGGGAATGGTGGTAGGGTATGAGAGATTTCCCCAAAGCAGCAAGAGAGGTCAAAGAGTTCCCCAAAGTTTCTTCTGGGTGAATGTCACAACCAACTGAACTCCTAGAAAGTCCCATGCAAGGGTTTTCTCAATGAGACAGCCAATTCCTGATAGTTCGTGCATCATTGCCATCATCTCCCCTAGCTTCTTAGGAAGAGGGGTATGTATTTGAAACCCCCTGCCCTCCCCACTGTGTGGAGAATGTTCCCAGAATGCTCCTTTGGAGAAACAACAAAACAAATAACACAACATGGGCACTCTAATTACAAAAGAAAACCACAAAACATAAAGAGAAAAAAAAGAGAGAGAGAGAGAAACATGAGTACTTCCTGAAGGTCTAAACATTGAGGGGTGGGTAGGAGGGTTCAAATGAAAACAAAAATAAAGCCATAAAAACAACATGCTGTCTACCAGGTTCCACACACCTGAGTCACCTGGCGTTTGTTTGCAGTACCTGGGCATCTTCTGCCGTCCCTATCATGGAGGAAGGGGGAGGACAGTTCAAAAAAGTGGGAGTGGGGAGAGGGGAAAGAGGGAGGGCCCTGGTCAGTTGAGATGCCAGCCCTCTGCACAAGCAGCAGCGATTTTTATGTCATCTTTGTTTTGATTAAAACTGTAAACAGCACCGCTTAAAAATAAAATATATCAGAAAAGAACAATTGATACACATTTTCCATGAATATAAAATGCAAACAATACAAAAATAGATAATTGGCTTTTGATATATATATATATATATATTAAAAACAACTTGGATGCAACATACACATGGGTAAACTTGAAGTCTCCCTGCTAAACCCCCTCAAGCCTCCCTCTAGCAACTGGGACTGGGAGCCGAGGGCATGTGGAGTGGTGGCACTGGCACAGGTGAGAAAATCGCTGGCAGCAGGAGGAGGGGCATGCAGTCAGCCTACTTGGGTGTGGAAAGCCACTTCCCTCCTGTGTACAGCATTGAGGATGGAGGGAGAATCTTGTTTATTGAAGCCTTTGCCCCAGGAGGCTTGTGGCCTGGTACCCAAGCTGAGTCCAGATGGGCAGGGCAGGCTCTAAACAGGCCCCAAGGCAAGGCTTCCTTGAAGGCTCTAAAGCACCAAGAAACTGGCATCCCAGCCCTGGGAGAGGTCTTCTAGGTTTCTTTCTCTACCCACGTTCACTGCCCCTCCGCATCAAGGACCAATCTCATCTGGAATTCTCAGGATCAGAGTTGTCTGGCACTAGATAAGCCTGCTGGGTAGCAAGATGAGTACAGCCACCTCCTCTCAAGTCACACCTTCTCTTGAAGTCATATCCAAAAGTGTTATCTCAGTACCCTGGAATGGAGACATGGTATTCATCTGGTCACAGCCTAGGGGCTTCTTCCTTTAATAGGAAGTGATAGACATGACACCAACACCTTTAGCAATCCGGGGTATCTTTGCTGCCAGCCAAGCAAGCTTATGTTTGAAGAGAGGTCTGGAGCTTGGCTGGCTCTCCCAGTGTCACCCTGACCTGAAATCATCATGGGTCCCCAGCCAAGTCTTCCTTACTCCTCTAGGCTGTAGTTGGGGGTTGGACATGACCTTCTTGGATCTACAGTTAAATACAAAGAAGCCTGTTTCCACAGCCACGTACCCTGACTGCCCCACTTCTGGTGGTGAGGATCTTGTCCATGGGTTTCCAGGGGGACTTGTGAGCAGTGATGTTGTCCAAACCATGAACTTTCACTCAGCCAGGCCCTACTCTGTGGTTTGTGTGACCTTCCAAAGAAGCCCAGCAAGGTGTGTCAGGGCTATGTCAGCCCCTCAGAAGCAGTGCCTCTTACTGCCTTCCTACCCCTGAGGGCAGCTCTCCACCCTTGGCCAAAGTCTGGCCACCTACTTTTCTCTTCTCCTTCTTCAGTGAGTGCTGGAGGCTGGTGATGGCTCACTGCCTGATGTGGCTGGCACAGTCCACAGGCAGACAGGAGCTCAAGCTGCCCTGAAGGACAAGCAAAGACAGAGGATGCAAGAGGTGAGTTTTCCCCTGTTGTAAAGGCATTTGGTGAGTGTTTACTTCCTGCCAAACAGTCGAACCAATTTCAGCCCCACTTTCCCAGGGCAACTTTGGTGGGAGGCCAGATGGTTGGAATTTGGGCACTTTTTTCCTATAATGTTGGGCTTGGGGTTAGGAGGGCCTTTCTCACCTTCTTTCATTCTCTAGCTCCACGACTGATGCATTTCTTTGCAGTGTCAGCCACAGTCAGCCTGGAGAGCTGGTCCGATTCCCTTGAGAGGTGGTGTTGGTGCCATGCAAACTCACGTGGTGCTTCCAGGTATGCAGCTTCTTCCAGCCAGGTCTGCTCTTTGTGGGGAGGGGCACTGGGCCAACCCCAATCTGAGAAATGGTGACAAAGACCAGCTCGGACACATCCCCTGGCCAAGGGGCAATTTGCCCACAGTCACCTTGACCCAGGGGGCCAACAACATCTGTTCCCAAGCTAAGTTGCTATGTCTCAGGAATGGCAAGAACTGTGTTGGCCTCTTCTCTTGACAGGCATGGAAATGGTGTGGGGTGTGGGTACAGGTGAGGGAGGAGGACAAGAATCATAATTTGGACTAATACATCCAGGCACAAAATGTTCCATATGTCATTTCCAATAAAAAAATTAAAAAGGAACCCTCTCATATTGGTGATTAATGGGTGGTTGAGCCTGGCAAGATTAGCCTGTTGCAATGTCTTCCTGACAGCAAGATCTTCCCCACCATTATTTCCAACCTAGTTTAACATGCTACTGCCATGCAAATCAGAGTCCTGCAGCTTGGCAGAGTGAGGGCGAGTCAGTCTTTCTTCTCAAGAAGCCTGGTCCTTTGATGATGCTAAGGATTTGGCTAATTGGAGAATGAATGCTCTTAAGAGAGCCCAAACAGCAGCCGAGATGCCTTTGGTATCCTGTCCCAGGAGTGCTCCAGTAGCCGTCAGCCAGGCAAGTCTGGAGCCTCTATACAGTGTCCAAACAAAGGGGTGGACAAGACTTAAGGAACTTTTTGCTTGGCAGCGGGGAGCAGTTTTCCCTTCTAAAAAAGCTAGGTTGCCTTGAGCTATGCAGAGTCTGAAATCCCCTCTCCTGCTGTCTGGGGAAAAGGGGCTCCTTTTTCTATCCTTCCCCTTGTTGTTGTTGTTAGTTGTCGTAGACTCATGAGTAGAACTGCTCTATAGGGTTTTCAAGGCTGTGACCTTTCGGAAGCAGATCGCTAAGTCTGTCTTCCCAGGCACCTCTGGGTGGGTTCGAAATGCCAACCTTTTGGCTAGTAGTTGAGTGCTAAGCCATTCACACCACCCAGGAACTACACATTTCAAAAACCCCAGCCCTTCCAATATCTCAATTAAAAGAACATGTTCCTTGTGATGAGATTATGAAAACTTCCTTTGGAGGAAAAAAGAACCAAAATTCAGAAGTATATGCAACTTAGGCAGCCACAGGCTTAAGAGAGAAAAAGGAAAAAAAATTCTATCATTCCAGAGGTCAAGACTCTATGGCAGTGTCCATAATAGAAACTTGATTTGTCTTCTGTTTGCAACTGGAAGAATTTGATTACTCCACTAAGGGGATTAGAGTTTTTGTCTTCAACCTAAGCTATGGCAGTCCAGGTTAAAAAGCCTCCATCTGGTAATAATGTCAAAGTCCACAGAAATTGGCAGTGAGACACATGCTACTTGATCCTCCCTAAGGACGTCTAGCTGAGACAAATACATTATAGGTATCTGATGTAATGGTGGCAGCTATGCCAAGGCCAAAGGAGTAGGGGTGGGGAGAATCTGTACCATAATTTCACATTGCTAACAGCAAACAATCACCCCATCCCTGAGTGGGAGGCAATGCTTATGCAGACCTGGCTTCTCATCAGTGGTCCATCATACACTGGGGCGGGGGGGGGGGCGGGCAAGGGATCAGCCTATGTCAAGGATGCACACTATATACATGATCATTAACTCAGCAACTGGAATAGGTACGAAATTACAGCATCCCAAACCCTGAATAGGTCACAAGAAGAAACCTCAAAAGCAAAATCAGGAGTGCAGCAGCAGCCTCTCTGGGAAGATGTACCCAAGCCAAATGTGGCCATAGATGGCAGAAGGGGGAAGTGGGAAAACAAAGGCAAAAACTCATAGGAGCTTTCCTTAGCCAAAAAGATTTTCAACTTAAACAGCAATCCCCACCCTCCCACCCCTCTGCCCAACCCCTGATCCCTACATGCTCAGGCCCATGCCCCTGCTCTGGAATTGATGATGACTACTCTGCTAGGTTTCCATTCAAGACAGTGGAGGAGTAGCTGGTGGAGAGGAAGGAGCACTGCTCGGCCCTCTCCTTTGACAGGTCAAGGCTAGAAGCCCCATAGAGAATGGTCTGACGCTGTGGGGGCTCAGGCAGGATCTTTGGCAGCTGAGGGATGCCATGGGTGATGCCCACAGGCTTGGCTTGGGGCAGAGTGCTAGAGATGAAGCCTCCAGAACTAGAGGAGCAACTGGGTTCATCCACAGGCAGCAGCACATCTGAAGACCTGACGCTCTCATTCTGAGAGGTCTGTGGCTGGGGGTTACAGCAAGGGCCCATAGGCAGGGGTAGGTGTGAAGGACGAGCTAACTGAGGCCCGGATTCCCGGGGTGCCCTTGGCTCTGGCCCTGGTATTGGCAGAGACATTGACATGGCCACAGGAGGTACACAACAGGCTGCCCGCCCATATGGAGACTGGTTGGAAGGCCCATCCAGCTGGCTGGGGTTTATCCAGGCAGAGCCTGGCTCCACCGAGAGAGGACAAGGGGCCCAGGTAGGCCAGTCATAGGCTCTTGGGGGCTCAGTATAGAGAGACAGGGGACTGTCTCGGTCCCATTCTCCTTCCTCCTCCTCATCTTCTTCATCAGAATCTTCTTGCTGGGCCTGAAGCTCATCAGACTCCATGTAGCCATGAGCCAGGTGGGAATTGGAAAGCTCCAGCTCCAGGATCTCCGCAGTGTCGAGGGAGCGGCTCCTCCTGTTCAGAGCCATGGCAGCGGGTGGAGGCCGAGGGTGCATGCCCGGCAGTCCCAAGTATCGAGGGAGGCTGCTCACACCCCAGGGTAGGCCTTGGTAGAATCGGCTGCGATAGTTGTTGAAGGCATGTTTGTGGTAGTAGCCCATTGCAAAAGCTTCCAAAGAGGCTGCAAGGTCTTCATTGTGGAACTCAGGATTCTCTTCACACTCACCTTCCCCATCCCGTTCCACATCAGCGATGTCAAAGGTCACCATGGGAGGAAGCTCTGGGAGGTTTTGAGTGAAGGATGAGTCAGAATCAGAGCTGCAGGACATGCTGGAGAAGAGGTTCCCATTGCTGGTGAACTCCACCAGGGCCTGTGAGAAACTCACAGTGGCATTCCCTCCCTTCTCAACCTCCTCTTCCTCTGGCTCCTCAGGGGGTGAGTAAGTAGGGTAGGCCCTCCTGGGGGACCCTCTAAAATTTGCTTCTTGCATGTCTGGCTCAAACATAGCATCACTCTGGAAGAGCTGCATCAGACACGTACTTTGATCTTTCTTGGAGCAGGTTCCTTCAAAACGCTTCTCCAGAGGACGGAAGTCCCTCCAGTCTGGCTCGCTGCTTGCAGTGGCAGGGAAAGCTGAGGTGGTTCCATGGTGGGAAGTCTGAGAGACCCCTGATGCCCCTGCCACCAGGCCCATCACTGATGGGCCTAAGGGCCTCATCTGATATTCCATGATGGGCTTCTCTTGCCAGGCCTGGACCTCTCGGGCTTGGGCCTCTCGAGCACGGGCCTCTCGGGCACAGGCCTCCTTGGCATGGGCTTCTCGGGAACGAGCCTCTCTGGCATGGGCCTCATGGGCCTGGGCCTCCCTAGCATAGGCCTCTCGGGTTAGGGCCTCTCTGGCATGAGCTTCCCAGGTATGAGCTTCTTGGGCATATGCCTCCCTAGTGTGGGCCTCTCTGACACGAGCTTCTCGAGCATGTGCCTCCTGGGCCTCTTGGGCCTCAAGCTGCTCCCGCCGAAGCTCCCAATACAACAACTGTTTCTGGATGGTCACTAGCCGTTCTTCTTCTGTCTCCATTGCCCCAGGTGGCTGGGAGGAAGAGAAGTGCTCAAAGTCTAAGAAGGGGTCAAACATTTCAGAGCTGCGACCATGGAGGTCATAAAGACAGTCATCTCCAGGTGGGGAATTCTCATGACTGTCATCTAGTTCATAAAACTCATAAAGGGCATCTCCGCTGTAGCTGTCTCGGGGCAGGCAATCCCTGCGGACAACCCCCAGGGCCTCACCTGAATCATCCTCAAATCCGGGTGTGGTAGAGTCATAATAACCTTCATCACTATTGGGGGCAGACTCTTGCTGGTCACTCTGAGGAGTCAAAAGGTCCCCAGAGGGTAGGCCAGGATAAGACCTAACTGGATCAAGGAGCATGTAGCTGTGGTGGCCAGGGGATGTGGTGGGATGGTAGATCAGGTTCAGGTTGGGCCTTAGGTACATCTGGGCACTTGCCCACAGATATTCTAAGTCATCATCTTCCTCTTCCTCCTTTACCTCTTCTTCTTCTTCCTCTAACTCCACTTCTTCTTCTTCATCCTCATCATCATCATCTGGCAAGGCCATCTCCTCTCCACCTCCTTGATAAGTCACCAGGCAGGAACTTCGCTTGGTCCCATCTCGGTTGGCCCTCTGGCCCCCAGAGGCCATGCTGTCTGTCATGCTGTCCATGTCTTGCTCAGCTATGATGTCCCCACAACCTGTCAGTGAGTCAAAGCTTTTCAGGGATGTGACATCCCCAAACAAGAGGCTCAACTGATCTCCCACAGGGCCACTGGGTAGATTTACCTCTCCTGCCACCACCTTGTCCTCTTTTTCTGGACTGTGGGGCTCCTCAGGGCCACTGGCTTCAGGGACAGGCTTGAGCTGCAGTAGTGCTGAAGTACAGACCTCTGTGGGTTTTTCTGGATCTTTACAGGCTGTCTTCTCAGTAGCTGGTGGAGAAGGCTCTGGTGTTGGAGAAACTTTTGACCCAGAGGCATCCTGGGATTTGGCATCTTCCTTGCTTGAGGATTGGAGGGTCTCCTCAGAGTGGAGCAGAGAGTCTGAGCTCACATGCTTATGAGGCCTCGCTCTGGCCCCCTCAGAAATCTTGACCCCTGGTTCACTTTGCTCAGTTCCAGTGACTTTGCCCTTCCGTTGACGGCGGATACTGCTGAAAAAGCCTTTCAAGCCTTTCTTTGGTTTGAGCACAGGGGGAACCTTCTCAGCCTCAGCCTTCTCTGTGGCTCCAGGCACAGACATCTTGTGCCTGGAGCCTGTCTCCAAAGCCCCATGGGCACTCTGGGAGCTGGGAAATTTGCAGGGTGACTCAAGCAAAGGTAGGGTGAGGTCAGTTCCCTCACTGGCAACATCTTCAGGGCCACAGACTGCCTCACTCAAGCCATCATGGGTTTTGCTCTTGCTGAGACCCTTCTTGGAGCTGCCTTTCCCAGAACCTTTGCTTCGTCCCCCCCCCAAAAAACTAGGCAGGGTACAGATGCCTTTCTTGCCACCAAAGAGTTTCATGGCAGTTTTCTTCAGCCTACCTGGGCCGGATGAGGGCGGCTCTGACACTGGCCCTTCCTTTGCCTCAGCTGCCTTGTTCTTGGCTCCTTTTGCTGTCCCTTGGGTCTGGGTGTCCCCAAAGGCTGCCGCCCCCTTGTACTGAGCAGCTTCATCCTGTCGGGTCTCCATGGTGATGGGGACAACTCAGGTACTTTCTGGAAATGCAGCCTCAGGCTTCCTGGCACTGTTATAACATCATCAGTCAGGAAGCACCATAGTTGGGTCTGGAGGAGATGAAAGAGACAAAGACAGAGAGACAGATACTGGTGAGCAAGCATCCAGGCTGAGTTTGTTTTCACAGGTGTCTGTGGTCTCAGGCTTGAGTGGAACCAGAGAGAAAGTAAGGGAAAATGTGGGGGAAATCTTAATCCATTCCATATGCTTGGCTTGCTGGGCAGGCCCCCTCTAGGCTCTAAGGCAGCAAAACTCTACACTGAGCAACAGGCAGCCATCACCCCCACCCCTTCACTGGGTTCCCTCTTTTCTGGCTATCTTAAGCTCTGGGGAGCACCAAGCAAGGCAGGGAAAACTGCAGATATGTGAAAGGCCCAGTGGTGTTATTGGCTGTGGAAGGGATTATCGAAGTGGGGAGTTAGGGAGGGGCAGGGAAGGCTGGAGAGAGGTCTGTTCTGACTTCACAGAATTTTGAAAGGCTTCTAGTAAAACAGCCCATTGAATCCTCACTGGTCTATGTCAGCTCCAGGCCTTGATTTCAGATTAGCCTGAGCTCTGTTTGACATTCTGCCTGGGGCTGGGAAGAAAAGTAGACCTGATGTTTCATTTCTTCCCCAAGGGCTCTCTAAATTGTTGGCAGGGCATGTTCAGACCTTTAGAACCCCAGAGTAGGAACCTCACACTCCTGAGCAGCAACTGAGGATCAGACAAGGTGAGGTGGTAGCCTCAGGAAAGGTACTTAACCTTTCTGAGCTTCAGTCTCCTCTATCCAGGAGACTTACTAATACATCCCCCTTATAAGGGTTATGTGAGGGTGGGTCTAGGTCAGACTCTTAATTGACTGTCCTGCTAGGAAGGGATTTTAATGCTGCCCTCAGCAACCAGAACTCCCAATTTCCACTTAAGAACCACGAGGCAGGTTGTTTCTCCTCCACACCCCTCATTATTTTGGTCCCCATGTAGCTCCCTATCTAAACAGGGAACTTCTTGAAGGCAGCACCCTACATAATTCATGGTTCTGGCCTGGGAGACAGGCTCTCTGTAGATATTGAAATAACTAAACCTGGTGCAAGACACCCTCTGATCTAGGTTCCTGATCCTCTGAACACCAAAATGCCACAGAGATGGAATAAAAAGAAGTACTAGCCACCACCCACTCCAACACATGCCCCACCCCTAAATCTGGTGTATTCCAATGACTGCAGCTGTTCAACAAGTGGCTCAGTGACCACCTAGGGAGTCACTTACCACTGTGCCCTCTCTGTAAGGTAGTCACCAGCAGACAGGGGGAGTTAGGGTAGGGAAGGGAGGCAGAACACTTTTTGGATGCCAAAAAGAGGCAAGCACCCTGTGCTCCCCAGAGCAGCTGGCCAGCACATCAGCCTTGTGATTGCTTGCGATAGTAAGACAGAACACATTCACCTGCATTGGAAGACTGTGGACTAGGATTGGTAGTAGAGACAGGCTGGCAGCTACACTCTATCCTCTGACCTCATTAGAGCAGCCTCCATGGGGCAGATTATTCAATAAGCAAGGTAAGTACAGTGCTTACCTTGCTTACCAGATCATCTGTAGTGAACAATTTCACATTTTTTCACCACATTAAAGATCCTGCTTCTAGGTATGGCTGTCATCTATCTCTCTCCTAACCCCACAGCACCTTCCTACAGGATCAAAGCCTCTTTTCAGTTTTACAATCTCCGACAGGGGCAGATGACCCAGGCTTACTTGTGCTTACTTACTAATTGGTAGTGAAATTATTCACTACAGATGATCTGGTAAGCAAGGTAAGCACTGTGCTTACCTTGCCTATTGGATAATCCACTCCTGAGAGGATTCCCTCTGGGAGCCCCTGGTCCTGTCTTGCAAACTTTAATGTTATGTCTGATCCTTTGCTTGGCTTGACACTTGAATCATCAGTGTGATCCAAGCTTCCATCAGCAGCACTTTGCAGAACTGAATATTAAAAGTACAGTAAAATAATGGCTGGTTATCCAGAAAAGAAGAAAAAGAAAAAGCACATCTGCAGAGCTATGCATTGCTATTTGCTCAGGTTAGGAGTTTTTTGAGTGGGTCATATTTTTACATGACACTGTTAAGGGTCAGCTTACTCCAGTTCAGCCCTGCAATTGATAGTCAAACAACGGATAACCCTCCCACAACACACACTATGACTGTACATGTATAATGTATGATTATACGTACACACAGTATCCGTGGATCTGATGGGAAAAGAGGCCCTATCATCTATCTAAATTCCACTTTCCACAGCACAGATGTTTTCACCCCAGGCCTGAAATTCCTAGCAGGGTTGTCTTTATGGTTCTGGGCATGGGAATGTTGGGGTGGCAGTAGTAAAGTTCTTCGTGAAATTGTATTCCCCTCTGTGGAATTCATGAAACAAACCTCTCCCGAACATTCAGTAAGTGATAGGCACTGACCTCAGCGTTGCAGGGCGAGCCAAGAAGGTGGAACCGCTAGCCCTTGCTTTAAGGGAGCTTATAGGCTAGCAAGGGAGAGAGTTCTATATTTAACGGTCCGAAGGCACAAAGTGAAGTAGGCATAAAAAATAGCACCTGGTGAAAAAGAAGGCTCCAGGAATTGACAGAATACCAATTCAGATGTTTCAACAAACAGATGCAGCACTGGAGGCGCTCACTCATCTATGCCGAGAAATTTGGAAGACAGCTACCTGGCCAACCAACTGGATATGGGTGCCCATTCCAAAGAAAGGTGATCCAACAGAATGTGGAAATTATCAAACAATATCACTAATATCACACACAAGTAAAATTTTGCTGAAGATCATTCAAAAGTGGTTGCAGCAGTACATTGACAGGGAACTGCCAGAAAATCAAGGCAGATTCGGAGGAGGACATGGAATGAGGGATATCATTGCTGGTGTCAGATGGATCCTGGCTGAAAGCAGAGAATATCTGAAAGATGTTTACCTGTGTTTTATCGACTATACAAAGACATTCAACTGTGAGGATCATGACAAACTATGGATAACATTGCGAAGAACGGGAATTCCAGAACACTTAATTGCGCTCATGAGGAACCCATACTTATACCAAGAGGCACTTGTTCTAACAGAACAAGGGGATACTGCATGGTTTAAAGTCAGGAAAGATGTGTGTCAGGGTTGTATCTTTTCACCATACTTATTCAATCTGCATGCTGAGCAAATAATCCTAGAAGCTGGACAATATGAAGAAGAAAGTGACATCAGGAAGACTCATTAACAACCTTCACTATGCAGATGACAAAACCTTGCTTGCTGAGAGTGAAGAGGACTTGAAACACTTACCAATGAAGATCAAAGACTACATCCTTCAGTATGGATTACACCTCAACATAAAGAAAAGAAAAATCCTCACAACCAATAAGCAACATCGTGATAAAGAAGAAAGACTGAAGTTGTCAAGGATTTCATTTTACCTGGATCTACAGTCAATGCTCATGGAAGCAGCAGTCAAGAAATCAAACAACTAGGAGCCCTATTACATGGCATAAACAGAATACAAAACATAACTAACAATGCACAAACATCAGAAGAAAAACTAGATAACTGGGAGCTCCTAAAAATCAAACACTTATGCTCATCAAAAGACTTCACCAAAAGAGTCAAAAGACAACTTATAGATAGGCAAAAAATTTTAGCTAGGACATATCCGATCAGGATCTAATCTCTAAAATCTACAAGATACTGCAAAACTTCAACAACAAAAAGACAAACAACCCAATTAAAAAACGGGCAAAGGATATGAACAGGCACTTCAACAAAGAAGACATTCAGGCAGCTAACAGATACATGAGGAAATGCTCATGATCATTAGCCATTAGAGAAATGCAAATCAAAACTACAATGGGATACCATCTCACCCCAACAAGGCTAGCATTAATCCAAAAAAACACAAGATAATAAATGTTGGAGAGGTTGTGGAGAGACTGGAACACTTATACCCTGCTGGTGGGAATGTAAAATGGTACAACCACTTTGGAAATCGATTTGGCGCTTCCTTAAAAAGCTAGAAATAGAAGTACCATAAGATCCAGCAATCTCACTCCTTGGAATATATCCTAGAGAAATAAGCGCCATCACACAAATAGATATATGCACACCCATGTTCACTGCAGCACTGTTCACAGTAGCAAAAGAAGGAAACAACCTAGGTGCCCATCAACGGAAGAATGGATAAACAATTTATGGTATATTCACACAATGGAATAGTATGCAACAATAAAGAACAATGATGAATCTGAGAAACATCTCATAACATGGATGAATCTGAAATGCCTTACACTGAGTGAAATTAGTCAGTCACAAAAGGACAAATATTGCACGAGACCACTATTATAAGAACTAAAGAAAAGGTTTAAACACAGAAGAAACCATTCTTTGATGGTTACGAGGGTGGGGAGGGAGCAGAAGGGGAATTCACAAACCAGATAGTAGATAAGAATTACCTCAGGTGAAGGGAAGGACAACACACAATACAGGGGAAGTCAGCACAACTGGACTAAACCAAAAGCTAAGAAGTTTCCTGAACACAACCAAACAATTCGAGGGACAGAGTAACAGGGGCAGGGGTCTGGGAACCATGGTTTTGGGGGACATCTAGGTCAACTGGCATAATAAAGTTAATTAAGAAAATGTTCTGCATCCCACTTTGGTGAGTGGCGTCTGGGGTCTTCAAAGCTAGCGAGCAGCCATCTAAGATGCATCAATTGGTCCCAACCACCTGGAGTAAAGGAGAATGAAGAACACCAAAGACAAAGGAAAATATTAGCCTAAGAGACAAAAAGGGCCACATAAACCAGAGACTCCATCAGTCTGAGACCAGAAGAACTAGATGGTGCCTGGCTACCGCCAGTGACCACCCTGACAGGGAACACAACAGTGAGTCCCTGACGGGGCAGGAGAAAGGTGGGGTGCAGAACTCAAATTCTAGTAAAAAGACCAGACTTAATGGTCTGACTGAGACTGGAGGAACCCCAGAAGACATGGCCCCCAGACTC